TTTGAAAAAAAATCAGAACAGATTGGACCAAGAACGCAACAAAATGAAAGTTTTGGACCACTGGTGCTAGTCCAAACCTTTTTGGACCAAAGTGGCAATTTTGAGCAAACCAGAGGGACCATTTGTGCAGTTTAGTCTTTGCAAAAATATAGAAGTTTTTGTTATATGCTACTTGAAGTAGCTTTCGGGTTTGAAATTTTTTGTTTAAAGTAAAAGCTAAAAGGTTTTGCTGACAAACGAAGTGTTTTGTTTTAGAGCTTTTTCTTAACAACTAAAAACAAAAAGCTCCCAAAGCCAAGCCCTAGACGTTGGTTTTCATATTATTATTTTCAAATTGCTCATCCAAAGTCCAAACTTATATTTTGCTTTCAAACAATATACACGAATTAACTGGTTCATTATACAGGGTTTGATAATTCTCACATTCCTAGCTCGATCACCCTACCTCAAACCCCCACCATGTGACACATCCAAACCCCTTCCTTGCATACAAGTTCATGGTGGAAAAGCCTCCATGTTGTTCTTAGGTCTCTACCTTATGGCTATTGGTGTCGGGGGGTATAAAGGGATCATTACCTTTTACCAGCACTAGGAGCGGAACAATTTGACGAAAATACCCCCAAAGGAAGGAAGCAAAGATCAACCTTTTTCAATTATTTCATATTTTGTTTATCATGTGGTGGTCTAATTGTTGTCGCCTTGGTGTTATGGATCGAAGATAATGTAGGGTGGCAATGGGGTTTTGGCATTTCAACCATAGCCATCTTGTTGTCAATTGTTATCCTCCTTGCTGGTTCGGCTTCTATCGTTGCAAGGTACCCAATGGAAGCCCTCTTGCAACCATGTTTAAGGTAATAACTCGATACAGTAGCTATGAGTCTGAATTCGTGTTTGAAGACTGATTGTGGCATTTTCATCGAACAGGTGGTGTGCGCAGCATCTCTGAATGTTTCTAAGGTTGCCAACTCCGATGGCCAACAGACGAAAGAGAATGAGACGGACAGACCAAGACTTTCGAACACCCTCGAGTGGTTAAACCGCGCGGTTGAAAACAAACCAGCCAATAGATTACTTGCGTGCTCTGTTCAAGAGGTAGAAGATGTCAAGATCATGCTGCAAATTCTTCCTATATTTGGTTGCACAAATGCACCATTATACTTAATTGCTGTTTAGCTCAACTCACTACGTTCTCCGTCCAACAAGCCGCCACAATGAACACGATGCTTGGCTCGTTCAAAGTCCCACCTGCGTCGCTACCTGTTTTCCCAATCGTCTTCTTGATGATCATGACACCACTCTGCGATCATATTATAATCCCATTTGCACGAAAATGGAAAAAAACTGAGATGGGTGTGTCTCATCTCCAAAGAATTGGCTTGGGTCTATGTTTCTCCATTTTAGCCATGGCTGTCGCAGCTCTAGTCGAGATCAAACGCAAGAAAGTTGCCAAAGTTGCGATGGTGGTACCATTGCCTATTTCGTTCCTGTGGATTTCGTTTCAGTATTTGTTTTTGGGATCTGCTGATCTTTTCGTGTTGGCTGGATTGATGGAGTTTTCGTTTACAGAAGCGCCCGTTAGAATGAGATCTTTGGCTACTTCGTTTTCTTGGGCGTCTTTGTCCATGGGTTATTTTCTTAGTGGCGTGATCGTCTCGGTTGTTAATGGTGTTACTGGCGCCAGATACCACCGGCAGCCATGGTTGTCCGGTGCGAACTTGAATCACAATCATCTTGACAGATTTTACTGGTTACCGAGAAATTAAATTGTTTTTATGCCTACTACCATTATTATTATAAGTGTCACATTATTATAAGTATAATGTCACATTTTATATATTTTTTTTTAACTATCTCAATAAGAATATATTAGACATATATCAAATCAAATTAAATTTAATAGTGAAATGATGACACGTGTGATAATAATAAGAATATATTAGACATATATCAAATCAAATTAAATTTAATAGTGAAATGATGACACGTGTGATAATGATAGTGAGTAAAATAAAATGCAATTTAATTTCTCATGGTTATTATGTGTTTTGAGGTTGTTGAATTTTGGAAACTATCTTTGTAGGCGAATCGTTACAAGTACAAATCAATATGTGGAAACATTTAAGATCATATGAATTTCTAGTAAATGACATTTAATTTTCAAAACTCTCATGAATTCGTTTAATTAACAAAACAAATCAGTCGTTGATGTGTTAGTATAATTGTCTTTGACTCTTTTTTAATGTAATCGGCTCTATCATAATTGTTTGTTGAATTAGATATGACCAGTGAGAAGATACACTATAATAGTTGTTACTAGTGAGAAGATTGTATGAAACTTTGCATCTTGATTTTGTATAACATGTAATATAGTGATATTATCATATTGTCATTGTGCTATAGCTTTATCGGATAAAATGTATTTATTTATTTGATAAAATATGTTAACGGGGATATTGAATAATTATAAAAAATACAAAATATGAAAAATTAAAACTGGATGCAAAGATCATGAAGGGAGTCGGGAAGGGGACGGTTGCAACTTGCAAACTTAGAAGGTGTGTTTGATGGAGGAAGTTATATACGGTATCAAGGCAAATGGCAAAAATTTGAAAGAAACACACATGGACCGAATCAACTATTAATCTCTCATGTGAGTCAGAGGTTTTGCTTACCCATGATTGAGTCAGACAAAAATGTTTGATCGGACTCAACCGAAACCAAACAAAATGTCTGACCGGACTCAACCGAAATCAAACAAGCTCATAAGATATCTCTAAAATCTTATAAAATAATTTAATAAGATATCTCTTGAATCTTATGAAATAACTATCTTAGCCGTTCATTTATATCTTCACATTCAGAGTTTTCCAAATCAAAGTTTCAAATTTTAAAGACTAATTTTGCATTGATTCTTATGGTTTGTTATTTTCTTTTTTGTTGTTTGGGTTTCTTAGAGCATTGGGTGTGGGCAACAAGGTGCAACACCAAGTTGTGTCATCTCATTTGCCACATAAGCAAATGGTGTTATAATACCAAGTGGGGAAATGGGCAACAAGATGCAACACCAACTTTTTGAAAATAAATATTTTTATTTTTGTATTTTTTTACTATTTCGTTTTTTTTACTTTTTTTTTTGGTTTTGGTTTTTTTTTCTTTTTGCGTTTTTTTAATAACTAATATATTTTGATAACAACATAAATTTTAAAAACAAAAAAAAGACATAATATTTAAAATCTAAAATTCCGATTACAATTAAAAAAACATAATTTTAAACCTAAATTAATAACTAAAATACCATTCAAATTACTACTAAAACCACACACCAATCCTAATTAACCCAAATATTTTTTCCTAATTTGTTCCTTCATCGCTTGTAGCACCGCTAGATCAGCAGGCGCCAAACCTTCTTCGCTAGTCCGAAGAATTGACAATTGTTGTGTCATTAATTCTCTATCTTTCTGCTCCTGCTTCTCCCGTGCCTGCCTTTCCAAGAACTCCAAATGACGACGTTTCAACTCATTTTTTTATTTTATTAATAAATTGTGCTCGTCGAATTTCGCTCTCATTTCCGCCGCCTCTTTTGCTCTCGTCTCCACCTCCTCCGCATGTCTTGCAGCACGCCTCGCTTTGTCGCGTCTGAGCGGTCGTCGTGGAGGGGATATCTCTTGGATATCATCCGGAATTTCATCGTCGTCGGCGTTAAGGTCGATGTGAGTCCGTGCGTCCGACACGTCGACCGAGCTAGAATTGCGAGACCTTTTGGATTGAACCTCCGACGATGTAGTCGTTTTATTCCACTTTGGATCCGCTCGTAACAACTCCCATGATTTTTCAAAGTCAAAAACATGACCCATTTCGACCCGATATTGTTCCTTAGCAGCTTTGAACAAATCGAAGTCGTTGGTTCCGCTTTGTTGTTGCGCCTCTAGCCGGTTGTAAATACCGTTAAATTTGCTGCACCGCTTAGTTATTTGACCCCATTTGCTGCTTAACATGTCATTGTTGCGATACGGATTTTTCTTTAAAATAGCGTGAAACTTGTCGAGCACCGCCCCCCAATAAGCTCATTTTTTCATTCCATTTCCGCGAACTTCGTCTTTTGAAGTAGCACACCATGCCGCCGTCAAAGCGTATTCCTCCTCCGATGTCCACCATTGTGGAACGGCGTTGCATTTCTGTTTTCTACCGCTATTGATTTCCCTTTTGATTTTCCTTTCTCTTTCCCTTTCTTGTTCCTACTACCTCCCGCTTCCGCTTCACCCGATTGTTGTGTCGTAGGCGATGGTTGGTTGGTTTGTTGTTGCATCGAAGCAAAAGAAGGGAAAAGATTTTGTTGTAAATTTGGGTTTTGACCAAATTGATTTTGTTGAAAGTAAGGTGAGTTGGGAAACTGTAGTGGCGGTGAAGCGGGATTGAAAGTTGCGCCTTGGTATGAGATCTGTAGTGCGCCTTAAGTCGATAAAAGGTTGAAATAACCTTCATAACCGGCAAACCCGACAGGCGAGGTTTTTTTTGTGGTGGTGTTGGGGTTTGCTGATGGGGAGGTGTTTGTTTTTGCTCCATTTTTTAGAAAGAAATAAAAATGGTCGATAGAAAGAAAGTAAAGGTTTGAAATGCAATGAGTAATATATATATATATATATATATATATATATATATATATCTATATATATATATATATAGGTAAAAAGGTAAAAAAAAAAAATTAATTGCTGTGAATTTGACCGTTTTCAAATGGTCTAAGTTTACAACGGCTCAATTTTTGGCCGTTTCATCTCGTTTCCGTGGCCACGAGAAGCGAACGACGAGAAGCAACGAGTTGGGGGGGGGGAGGGGGGCGGTGTCCCCCGTTACGACGCCGTCGAGCTGCGCCACGTCACCGGCGTTTCATCTCGTTTGGACTCATACCGTGTGGTCTTAAGCTAAGTATGTCAAAACATAACTTAAGCTATAAATGATAATGACACATAATCCTGGGAAACAAAATGCCTTCTACAAATAGTAATTTATTTTTTAACCTTGGAAATTATTCTCCATTCACATTACGTTCTAAGGATATGTATCTACTTGGAATTTGATCGGAACAAAACAAAATAAAAAACCAATCAACCCGATAATTAAATCGATTTATACAATTACGGTGTTAATTTATATGGAAGATATGGGTTTTATTTGCTTTTATTTTGAGCCAAGTTAAGAGTACGATTTTGAAAAACATAAAACCAATTATTAACACAAAACAAATTGAAATCACGTTAAAGTTTGATTAATTAGGATAGAGAAACTAATTTCAAAACTAATTATATTTTCATCAACTTCACTTAGAACACCAAAGAATTCAAAATGAAAACAAAAAGAATTTTCCAAAACTAATTCGATTGTAAATTGACCCAAACAGATTGACCTGGTACCCCATCGTGTACCACAAACAGCATATAATACCCCGGTGGTGCAACATTTGGTGATGAAGGCGCACGCACCGTAACCCTATACCCAAACACAGAATACTGTTCCACGGAAGCCACGTGTAAAAATAGTACCCGTTGATTCATCGCGAATGAGTGAGTCGCAAATGAGGGTGCAACCAACGATACGATGACCCTTAGATCTAAACCAGTCAAGGACATAGTCAACGTTATGGTGAAATATTGACCGTAGATTACACCCTCATCGATACCATATTCAACGGACAAGATTGAAGGCCTGTAATAAGCGAATCGGCCGTCCATGTACGGCGGCGAAAACGCTTCCAAGCTCAAATCAGTTGGGTAGTTTCCGGTGAACTCGTATGACACGTGTGGGTTACTTCCACCCACTAAGATTCTGCCATCTGGAAGTAACGTGGCTGCTGAGTGGTACATCCTGGGTCTTTTGGTGGGAGTGAGCACAGTGAATAGTCTCTTTCTTGGCTCGTAAAGAATCGGGTGCAAAACCGGTTTAACCGCGTTCTCCCAACCGGCGGTACCTCTCGCCGCTCCGTTAATGATGATGATGTCGCCGGTCGGTAAAACGATCATATCCGGCATTACCCGGCGGAGGGGCATCATCTCCATGGTCCAACTGGGTTGAGGAGCATTGAGGTCCATACGTCCACAGGTTCTTGCAGCTGCCATGTACACACCTTGCTCCGCCATCGGAAACGACCCTCCTCTTGCGCCGCCGCAAATCATAACCTCCACCGGCGGCGATCGGACATTTTCGTTGAGCGAAATTGGTAACAAAACTGACGAACCGGTTGATGGGTACGATCTTTTTTCTCCGGGAATCGGCGGAAACTCGCGAACGACTCGGCCGTGCACGTAATCCAACGATATCGAACGTTGATTTGCAAAGATGAACAGATTTCCGTCCGGCAAGAGGTGAAGAAACGGATATAGATTGTTCTCTTCTTGAAAATCTGTTGTTTCTATCAAGAACGTGAGATTAAACAAATTTAAAGAAGAAGACCCAATTGGGTTTCTTGGATAAAACTCATAGCTGTAAGCTCTCCGGCCACCGACGATGATAATGTTCCCGTCGGGGAGAATATGATTTGACGCATACCAACGTTGAACTGTTAAATTCCTTTCCAATTCAACCCAATCACAAGAATTATCTCGGCATGGAGTGAAGAGACGTATTTTGTGGTCGCCGGCGTGGTAGCCTCCTGTTTGCACAAGTGTGCCGCTGGGATCGACGGAGCCTGATGAACACCATATATCGGTTTGTACGGTAAGTGGTCGGAATGTATTTGAAGGAACGTCGTAGAGGATGGAGTGAGCGGTGCAATCAGGTCTAACCA